GAAAAGCAGTGGGAACGAAGCAGAGACCCCATGATCTATGTTTCCAGTTTGCCTCGTTTCCTGCATTGTTTATGAAATCATGACATCAACAAAGCTCTGGGCGCAGAGGCCTGGTACAGGAGGCGGAGCCCTCTGTTAGGAAGCCCTCTCCAAAAGCAATACTCCAAAGACAGTCCTGCTTTCCCTCTGTCCTCCAGCTGGCCCGGGAGGCCTGTAGCTCACTAGAGTGACTCATGCGGGAGACCCTCTGGTTCAAATGAAACCCCTCTCACCTAACATACTGTTCAGGGCTGAAGCAAGACAAACTCTCTCCCTATCCATCTGGAACATGACGAGGGGAGGAAAAAAAAATAATGTTTCTTTTTATAAATACCCCCTAATTTGTTAAAGCAAGCCATCTGAAGTCACAGAATGCAGTGATGCGGGTTTGCTCTGGGAGGTGGAGCCCAGTAAAATGTTCTGGTTTAGGAGGGTGTCAGGTTCGAAGCCTGATTCTCATAAACCCAAGTGAACAATGGAGAAAGAAATGCCATCTCCAGGATTCTTTCGGGGCCTGCGATGTGAAAGGCGGGAGCAGGGAGCATCAGGGGAGGCCTTTTCTTGGCGTCTCTGCCTGTGAATCACTGCTCTCACATGGGCTCATTGAATGGTCTCTAATTTGGGAGCGGAGCAGCGGAAGGGGCCCAGATCAACCTCAGTTTTGTCCTTTCCATTTCACTTGGGGCTATGTGGGCCTGAACATTTGGTATCAGCAACGGTAAGGCTCCGGAGATGTAGGGCAGTTCAGCTCATACACTGATCGCAGTGAGGACCGGCCTGAGATTTTTGGGGAGTCCGGGGGTGGACTGGGGTGGGAATCAGCTCAAAGAAAGGACTCCCTTTCACATTAGGTTACTGATCAGAGAGAAGCCACAACACAGGGCAAGGAAAACATGCTGAGGACTTGTGGGGATGACAACGCGATGTCAACATTTCTCAGAAGACAGGAGCATTTTGCCGGCTCAGTCAGTAGTGTGTGCGAGTCCTGATCTGGGGATTATGAGTTTGAGCCCCACATGAGGTGTACAGATTACTTAAAAATAAGATCTTTAGGGGTGCCTGGGTGGCTCAGTGGGTTAAGCCACTGCCTTCAGCTCAGGTCATGATCTCAGGGTCCTGGGATCAAGCCCCACATCCGGCTCTCTGCTCAGCGGGGAGCCTGCTTCCACCTCTCTCTCTGCCTGCCTCTCTGCCTACTTGTGATCTCTCTCTCTGTCAAATGAAAACAAATAAAATAAAATAAATTTAAAATAAAAAAAATAATAAAAAATAAAATCTTTAGGGGCCCAATTGGGTGGCACAGTTGGTTAGGTGCCCAGCTCTTGATTTCAGCTAGGGTCGTGATCTCAGGGGCGTGGGATCGAGCCCCATGTTGGACTCTACACTCAGCGGGGAGTCTGCTCGAGATTCTCTCTCTCCTTCTCTCTGAGATAAATAAATCTTAAAAAAGATGAAATCAAGTATTTAAGGGCATGTGGGTGACTCAGTTGGTTAAGCATCCAACTCTTGATCTCAGGTCTTGATCTCAGGGTTGTGAGTTCAAGCCCCTATTGGGCTCCATGCTGGGCATGGAGCCTACTTAAGGGGGAAAAAAATTAAAAATGAAATAAAATCCTCTAAAAAAGTCTCTCATAAGACAAGGATAGGTGGCTGTGCACAGACTATCTGGGAAAGGCCATACTAGAAAGTGCTAACAGTTGAGTGCCTCTGGCAAATGAGGGGGTTTGGGGGTGGAACTTGGGTGCAGGAAGGAGCCTAACCTTTCCTTGTGATACACCTTTTGTATCATGTAAGTTCTGTACTATGAGCATGGGCTATGGATGGAAAATTATTTTTTATAGTCTTGCAGATCAGAAGACTTCGTAGGAATGTGGCCAGTGCTTAATAAACACGTAAATTGTCGTACTATTTCAGGAACTAGCACTTAGAGTGCCTACTGTGTTCCAAGGGCCCTTTGGCAATGCCCGTTTTACAGATCTTAGGAAATAGAAGCTCAGCTAGGAGGGAGCCAACGGGGACTCCTCCCAGGTCTGCTGGAAGCCAGAGCTCTGCTCTTCAGCAAGGACCACACAGCCTCGCTCCCTGGAGTGAGCAGTTGGGGGAACCAGATGCTCTGGCAGGATCCGGAGAGATGCCATCTGTGAGGGAAACCTATTCTTAGAGAGCAGAGACAGTCGGCGGTGCAGCCGGCCAGCCCCCCGCAGCAGTGGGGGGATGCTGGGCAGGCAGGGAGCCAAGGCTCTACCTTCAGTTGGGGGGGGTAGGAGAGGCTAAGAGCAGGGGCTACTCAGTTCTTAGGACCACGTTTCCGCCTCCCTTTGGATGCTATAGTGGACATTACAGCAAACATTCACGGAGTGCTTACTTTAGACTCATCATGTTGTTTAATCCTCCAGATCGTGCTGTGAGGCCACTGAAATTAGCACGCCTCTCTTACAGATGAAGAAACAGGTACAGAACGGTGAAGTCCCTTGCCCGAGAAAACAGGGCCAAGCCCCGGCACTCTTCCTCCGAATTCTCTGTCCAAACCTCCACTGGCTTTCAGCTCGCTGCACCAGAGGCCAGCTTTAGTTCCGGTTTCCTCAACAGCAGAGCCCGAGACAAGGATTTCAGTGCAAGTGGTTCCTTTGGGAAGTGATCCTACGTTAGGGATGGAGGAGACAGGGAAGGGCGGGCGTGGGCACAGTTATCAAGCAAGTGATCAAGCAAGTGGGCAGCCAGAGTTCAGTCCGGCCGGGGATCTCTGGAAGCCACTGCGGGGTGTCCACCTTGGAGAGTGATCGCCCGTGTTAATCCTCCAGACCTGCTGTGGGTGGCAGAGCAGGTGCCAGTGGCAAACGAGAGCCCTCAGGCAGAAAGACACAGCGGTGGCAGTTGGAAGAGTTGGCTGGTGTGCGGTGAGGTGTGAAGTTGGAGGGGACTGAGCAGAGCCCCCCAGCATCTGCTTGCTGATGGCCTCTCCCTTCCTCTCCTGACCTCCGGATCTCATTCAGCCTCCACACAGGGAATGCGGGACCTTCCAGATCACCTTCTCCAAGTGTGTAGTACGTCAGGACTGAGAGCACTGCTGTCAGAAGCAGGCCTAATCCCACCATGATTACTTAACAGCTCTGTGACTCGGCTTCCTCCTTTGGGCTGGCTGCGCATGATTCCCTACTACTCGAGGTTGTTACTCGAGGTTCGGCTCCATCCAGCAGCACCAACGGCAGCACCTGGAAGCCTGTGAGAAAGGCAGACTTTCTGGCCCCACCCCAAACTCACTGAGTCAGAATCTGCATTTTAATAAGATCACCAGTGACTCATGTGCACATTTCTACTAGTAATTTCTAAAAAGAGACTGGAGTATTCCTACTAGACCAAGGGTCTCACATTGGAAGCTCATGGACCACATCTTCCTGGAGACCTGGTTTGGTTTGTCCAGCACCAGTGATTTTAAAAATCGGACTGGCACATAAGTCTCCAGTTCCCCAGGTTACCATCACTCCCAAGTGCACAACGTTTTCATTTATACCCCTTGCCAGACACCTCTGGGCATTTGAGTTTGCACGATGTTCTGGACTCCATTCTAGAACTAGTTAACATTTGCATAGCATAGATTAGGTTTCTAAATTTAACATAAGGCACTGAAAAACAACAACAACAACAACAACACGGGTATTGAACTCAGACAGCTCTGGGTTCAAACCCTGATTTGGCTATCATACTGGTTGTATTATCTTGATTATCTTGGGCAAGTGACTTCCCGGCTCTGATCCTGTGTCCACATCTGTGAAATGAGGATCAAAATACATACCTGCAAGGTCATTGTATGGGTTAAAAATAATACATGCAAAGCACCCGGGAGGAAGTAGGAGCTCACTAATGGAAGTAATTAGTAGTAATAGCAGCTCTTATACTTCTACAAATCCAATGTGTGTATTATGATTATCCTCATTTTATAAGAAGCTGAGGCTCTGAGAGGTTAAGAAACCTTCCCCAAGGTTACACAGTGGTGGAGTGGGGGGACTCAAACCCATGTCCCCTAGCTCTGTATCTGCACTGTCCACTAGAATTTTCTGCAAGCATAGAAGTGTTCCATATCTCCTTTAACCAATATGGTAGCCACCAGCCATATGCGGCTACTGAGCACTTGAAATATGGCTGGTCCCCATTGGGACACACTCTAAGTACACATCACATACCTGATTCTGATGACCTAGTATAAGAACGAGGAATATAAAATATCTCATTAATTTTTATACTAATTTTCAGATGTTAAAATGACAATATTTTAGAAATACTGGGTTAAAATATATAATTAAGATTAATCTCTCCTGCTTCTTCCTACTTTTTTCACGTGGCTTCTAAAACAAATTTCAATTACATATGCGAATCACACTGTGCTTCCATTGGACAGTGGAATTCTAGAGTTTTTCCACTAGAGCAACACCTGAGCCCAGGAATTCAATTTTTTCTAAAAACATATTTGCTGCCTCCGCCCCCCTCCCTTCCCCCCACCGGCAAGGAGTCCTGGTACACAGAATGGTCAAAGACCATAAGCTACTAGGAAGAGACTTCAGGGCCCTCTAGGCTCGCTGACCCCTGACGACCAGAGTGGGGGTGGGGTGGGGGGAGGGTGTTCCCTGGTCTCACATTAGCCAGCAGCACAGCTGGAATCATGTCTGAGGCCCTGCAGCCCAATTCACCACTCATTCCACCAATGGAGAGGACTTAACGGGACTTGGAAATCAGTGCTTTTGCTTTGGCAAATGAAACCTTGGGACAATACAAGTTGGAGTCTGAGAACCATGATTTTTTTTTTTTTTTTTTTTCCAAAGATTTTATTTATTTATTTGACAGACAGAGATCACAAGTAGGCAGAGAAGCAGACAGATAGAGAGAGGTGGAAGCAGGCTCCCTGCAGAGTACAGAGCCCGATGTGGGGCTCGATCCCAGGACACTAGGACCATGACCTGAGCTGAAGGCAGAGGCTTTAACCCACTGAGCCACCCAGGTGCCCCTGAGAACCATGATCTTGAGAAGGCAGGATCCTTTAGGGGGATTCGCCGATGGAGCCGATCTCGGCTGTGGACGCCCCCATCAGCACCTCAGGGCCCCCATTACTTCGAGGGGAGGCTCTTGTTGTAGAGGAGGAAGTCTGAGATGTCATGCCAGACATTGCTGTCCTGGTACAGGTAGGTCATGGAGGACTGCAGGGAAGGATGCAGAGTGGGCTGGTGGTACTCAAAGAGCCACAGGACCAGCCCCCACAGCAGCCCGGTGAACAGCGGGAATGGGTCCCACCTGGGCTCAGGAATGTAGCCCTTCTCCACGCCCAGGCGGCACAGGGCAAACAGGGCTCGTGAGAGCAGGTACATGCTGATCTGCAGGGAGGGAATGACAGGGGATTACGGGAGGGACCAGAGTTGGGGGGGCGGTTTCCCAGCCACCGGGACCCTTCAGCCCACCCCTGCGTCCTGGGGCACCTACTGCACATGGGATCAGGGTTTTTCTTTCTTTCTCTCTTTCTTTTAGTCATCTCTACACCCCACGTGGAGCTTGAACCCATGACCCCAAGTTTAAGAGTCTCATGCTCTTCTAACTGAGACAGCCTGGGTCAGTGTTTTTCAAAGCTAGTGTGCAAGATGATTTGAAGTGGTAGGTAGTAGGTATTTTAAAGATTTTATTTATTTATTTATTTATTGGGGGAGTTGGAGAGGCAGAGGAAGAAGGAGAGAGAGAATCTGAAGCTGCCTTCACACTCAGTGCAGAGCATGACACGGGGTTCAATCTCAAGACCCTGAGATCATGACCTGAGCTGAAGTCAAGAGTTGGAAGCTTGGGGTGCTTGGCTGGCTCAGTGGGTTAAGCCTCTGCCTTTGGCTCAGGTCACGATCTCAGGGTCCTGGGATCCAGCCCTGCATCGAGCCCGGCATGGGGCTCTCTGCTCAGCAGGAAGCCTGCTCCGCCCCCTCCACTGCCCACACTTGCCTCTCTGCCCACTTGTGATCTCTGTCTGTCAAATAAATAAATAAAATCTTTAAAAAAAAAAAAAAGAGTTGGGGGCTTTGACCAAGCCACCCCGGTGCCCCGTAGCAGGTATTTTAATGTTGCTATTCTTTGCTGTAATTTATCATTCTTGTTCACTAACATTTTTAGGAAATGAATATTTACATGGCTCAAAACTGAAAGGTAACCTGACACCAAAACCCACAACCCACATAAAAATAAAAAATCAGTAAACTGGATCTCATCAAAATTTAAAATGGGTTGTGAAAGCCCATATGAAGAGGCTGAAAAGAAAAGCTACAGCTGGGAGAAAGTATTTACAAACATGTATCTGACAAAAATTTCTATCTGGGATATATATATATTTAAAGATTTTATTTATTTATTTGACAGAGAGAGATCACAAGTAGGCAGAGAGGCAGGCAGAGAGAGAGGGAGAAGCAGGCTCCCTGCCAAGCAGAGAGCCCAATGTGGGACTCTATCCCAGGGTCCTGGGATCATGACCTGAGCCAAAGGCAGAGGCTTAACTCACTGAGCCACCCAGGTGCCCTGGGATATATATTTTTTTAAAAAACTTTCAAAACTCAGTGGTAAAAAAAAGAAACAATCCAACTAGAAAATAAGCAAAAGATGCAAACAGATGTTTCACCGAACTGGTTCTACAGATGGAAAATAAGCACATGTAAAGATGTTCAACATCATTAGCCATTAGGGAAATGCAAATTAAAACCACAATGGAAGCACTGCACACCTATCAAATGGCTGAAGTTAAGAACGTGATAAACCAGGGCGCCTGGGTGGTTCAGTGGGTTGACGATGACCTGCCTTCGGCTCAGTTCATGATCTCAGGGTCCTGGGATCGAGCCCTGCATCGGGCTCTCTGCTCAGTGGGGAGCCTGCTCCCCACCCCCCACCCGCCTGCCTCTCTGCCTGCTTGTGATCTCTTTCTTGTCAAATAAGTAAATAAAATCTTAAAAAAAAAAAAAAATAAAACGTGATAAACCAAATGCTGGCTAGGATGTGGAGAAAATGGATCATTTGTATATTCCTGATGGGAATGTAAAATCATACAGTCACTTTGGAAAACAGACTGGCAGTTTCTTAAAAAATTAAACATGCATGGGGGTGTCTGGCTGGCTCAGTCGATTAAGCATCCAACTCTTGGTTTCAGTTCAGGTCATGATCCAGGGGTCTGGATCGAGCCCTGCGTGGGTCTCCGAGCTCAGTGTGGAGTCTGCTTGAGATTCTCTCCCTCCTCCTCTGCCCCTCCCCCACTCATGCTTTCTTTGAGCTCTTTCTCTCTCTCTCTCAAATGAATAAATAAATAAAATCTTGAAAAAAAAATGGATGGGGCACCTGGCTGGCTCAGTAGGTGGAACATGCAACTCTTGATCTGGGGGTTCTGAGTTTGAGTCTCACATTGGCTACAGAGATTATGAAATACTTAAAAATAAAAATCTTAAAAAAACTTAAACATTGGGTGCCTGGGTGGCTCAGTGGGTTAAAGCCTCTGCCTTTGGCTCAGGTCATGATCCCAGGGTCCTGGGATCGAGTCCCACATTGGGCTCTCTGCTCCGCAGGGAGCCTGCTTCCCTTCCTCTCTCTCTGCCTGCCTCTCTGCCTACTTGTGATCTCTGTCTGTCAAATAAATAAATAAAAATCTTGAAAACAAAACAAAACAAAACTTAAACATGTATGTATCATATGACCCAGCAACTGGACTCTTGGGCATTTATTCCGGAGTAATGAAAACCTATGGTCACCCAAAAACTTGTACAAGAATATTCTTAGCTGTATTTCTAATAGCCAAGAGCTGGAAACAACCCAGATGTCCGTCGGTGGGTGGATGTTTAAACAAAGTGTGGGGCGCCCATGCCCTGGCATGAGCTATCGATACACACACAACTTGGATGAATTTCTAGGGAATTATGCTGCGTGAAAAAGCCAAACACCAAAGGTTATATACTGCAATGACTCTACTTACGTAACATTTTTGATATAACAAAATTTTAGAAATGGAGGTCAGGGTAGTTGTTACCCGGGGTCAGGGAAAGGAAGGGAGGGAGAAGGAGATGGTATGACCAGGATTCCTAGCCCCTAGAAGTTCACAGACCAGTGACATTTCTAAACAAATAAAAAAACAAAAAACAAAAACCCCCCAAAAAACCCTTGGGAAAGTTTCTCAAAATTCAAAATGCTCATATCTATGGATTCCATAGTTCTGTGGTAAGGGAATTTCAGATGGATTGACACATATCCAAACAAAGATGTAGACGAATGTGTGTGTGTCCTGGCAAAAGACTACAGACCCCCTAAGCGTCCATCCAGAGGAGTCTGGGGAAATCAAGGCCAGTCGATTCACACAATGGAGAGCTCTGCTGGTACTAAAAAGGATGATGGAGGGGCGCCTGGGTGGCTCAGTGGGTTAAAGCCTCTGCCTTCGGCTCAGGTCATGATCCCAGGGTCCTGGGATCGAGCCCCGCATAGGGCTCTCCGCTCAGCGGGGAGCCTGCTTCCTCCTCTCTCTCTCTCTCTCTCTCTGCCTGCCTCTCTGCCTACTTGTGATCTCTGTCTGTCAAATAAATAAATAAAATCTTTAAAAAAAAAAAAAGAATGATGGACTGACAAGAAAGATTTCCTAAATACATCATTCTGTGAAGAAAGAGTGCAGTGTGATCTCATTGGTGAAAAACTCCTGGTGTGTACAGATACTAGCACAGACAATTTTTGAAGGGGCACACAAGACACAGTTAAAGTGGGAGGTCTGGGTGGCTCAGTGGGTTAAGCCTCTGCCTTCAGGTCAGGTCATGATCTCAGGGTCCTGGGATCAAGGCCATGTGGGGCTTCTTGCTCAGCAAGGAGTCTGCTTCTTTCTCTCCCACTGCCCCTAGGTTCATGCTTTCTCTTTCAAATAAATAAAATCTTAAAGAGAAAAAGGCTTAAAAAAAAAAAAAAAAAAAAAAGGACACAGTTAAAGTATTCCTGGACAGCGGTTTGAGAACTGGAGGGGGTTGGGAGCTTTCTTTTCAATTTATTTTCTAATTTTATTATGATACACCCCAAGCACCTAGAAGTGCCCCAGACATATAGAGGGTGCTTAGTCTGTATTTTTACAAATATTTTATTTATTTATTTGACAGACAGAGATCACAAGTAGGCAGAGAGGCAGGCAGAGAGAGAGAGAGGAGGAAGCAGGCTCCCTGCGGAGCAGAGAGCCCGATGCGGGACTCAATCCAGAACCCTGGGATCATGATCTGAGCCAAAGGCAGAGGCTTTAACCCACTGAGCCACCCAGGCGCCTCTGCATTTTTAAAATGCGAAAATAAACCACGATTTTTATAATTTGAAAGTATTTAATAAATTGGAGGGAGGCAAAGGGAGGGGCTACCAACTTTTCATGTCACCCAAGAAGGACTTTAAAACAACATCTAGGGGGCCCCTGGATCGCTCAGTTGTTAAACTTCTGCCTTCGGCTCAGTTCATGATCCCAGGGTCCTAGGATCGAGTCCTACACCGGGCTCCATGCTCAGTAGGGAGTCTGCTTCTCCCTCTCTCTCCCCACTGTTCCCCCTGCTTGTGCTCTCTCCCTCTGTCAAATAAATAAATAAATCTTTAAAAAAAACCTCATCTTCTTTGACCACCACCCCGAATTCTATACCCAGACCACAATCTTCCTGTCCCAGCCTCTGTGCCCTGAGCCCTATCCTGGGGAAGGGTCTTTACCTGGCTGTTGATGTTATTGTTAGCTCCAAACACCAGCAAGCCCCCGAAGAAGGCGGCCAGGAACGAGTGCACCTGGTAGGTCTCGCCCTGCGCATGGGCCTGCAGGGCGCAGAGGCCCTTATAGGTGAACACAAAGAAGGCCAGGTTCCGGGAGTGGGTGTACGTGGCTTGCAGAATGGCCCGCAGCTTCTCCCGGAGGCTGCACAAACACAGGGACCCTTAGTGAGTGCGGGCCCAACTGCTCCGAGGGCATTCTCCCCCCTCCCCCCGGGGAATGCAAACCTGAGCCAGCAGGTGGCCCAGGCTCATTCAGCCCCAGGCCTCTAGCTTCCATGCCCTCGGACTTGACTCCAGGTCACTTCCTCAGAGAGCCTAGCCTGACCATCCTGTCTCCTTTACTTTCACAGCTCTTCCACCAGCTGACATTGCCAGGCTTATTCTCCTCCCACTCCCACCCCACCCCAGTGGAAGCTACCAGAGGGTGGTGTCTACACCTGGCTTGTTGATCCCCAGGGCCCAGAATAGGGCCTGGCACCTAGTAGGTGCTCAGTAAATTACTTTTTGGCATGAGCATATGAAGTCATGAAGGAGGGAGTAAGGGAGAGCCTACTATGTACTGGAACTGGGGATAGGATTCTGAGGAAAAAAGCTTCCTGCCTGGGGGCACCTGGGTGGCTCAGTGGATTAAGCCGCTGCCTTCAGCTCAGGTCATGATCTCAGGGTCCTGGGATGGAGTCCCACATCGGGCTCTCTGCTCAGCAGGGTGCCTGCTTCCCTCTCTCTCTCTCTCTCTCTCTCTCTCTGCCTGCCTCTCCATCTACTTGTGATCTCTCTCTGTCAAATAAATAAATAAATAAAATCTTAAAAAAAAAAAAAAAAGCTTCCTGCCTTCATGAGGTATATGATGTAATGGGAGAGACAAACATAAATTATCACAAAGCAAAGGTCAAACTTTCACCCTGACTAGAGATGACTCTGGGATCCGAAGGATGAGGAGTCAATGAGATGGAGAGGGGAGAGGGGTTGCATCCTAGGCAGAGGGATCAGCACGTGCAAAGGTCCGGAGGAGAGACAGAGAGTGGGGAGTAAAGGAACAGAGAGAAACCAAGGCCTGAGCTGAGAATGTGGGGGGGAAAGAATGTGAGGAGAGGTGGGGACGTGCAGTTTTGTCTTTATCCTAACAAAAGTGCACATTTAAGTCGGGCAAGGATTCTATTTATCCTTTAAAATTAAGTCACTAGGGGGCAGTGAGAGAACACAGGGAGAAGGGCAGCGTGTACTCTGGGAGGTCAATTCAAGGATCCTGCAATCAAGCTCTCTCACGGCTAGATGAGGGCCTTTAAGTGGGTCTACTGGAACCTGTGGAAATCTGCCAGGTGAGTGAGGACAGCCAGGAGTCAGCTGGTTCTCGCCTCAGAGGAACATGAGCCTGGTGTTGCCAGTTCTCTTTTTTTTTTTCCTTTTTTTTTTTTTTTTTTTTTTTTTTGAGTAAACGCTGTGACCAACATGGGGCTCAAACTCAAGACACCAAGATCAAGAGTCCCATGCTTTACTGACTGAGTCAGCCAAGTGCCTCTAGTGTTGCCAGTTCTAATGCAAGAAAGGCGGATTTCCCAGTTAACTGTTGGTGCTAATCTTGCCTTCAAAATGTTTCTAGGGATACCTGGGTGGCTCAGCCGGTTAAGCTTGTGCCTTCGGCTCAGGTCATGATCCCGGGGTCCTGGGATCCAGCCCTGGGTCAGGCTCGTTACTCAGTGGGGAGTCTGCTTCTCCCTCTCCCTCCGCCCCTCCCCCTGCTTGTGCTCACACTCTCTCAAATAATTAAAATCTAAAAAATAAAATAAATAAAGGGATAGATCCTAAATAAAAATACGAAAAGAGAAAATCTTGGGAGCTGGAATTGGCCAAGAGGCTGTCCACGTGGGCTTGTTCTAAGCGCCAGGTGAGGCTACAGACATTAAAAACCAGGCCACGGAGTGGTTTTTGAGAAGTGTCCTGAGGGGAAAGCTATGGCGGATGGAGGAAGACCGAGATGTCTGAGGGAGCCAAGGAGGTCACGGACAGTTCTCCTAAGAAGTGCTCCTCACATAATGGTATGCATTGCCAACAGGGAAATAAAGGTGGGGTGAAGAGGAAAGGGCGCACCTGGAGGGGGTTACTGCATGAGCAAACGTGGCGGTGGAGCCACACGTGGCGTGGCCGGGAGTCCAGGGAGCCGGGAGCACTCCAAGGGGCCGGAAGGGAGGAATGTGGGCATGCAGTGGCGCCCAGGCAGCAGAGGGACTTTTTTTTTAAAGTTTTTAAGTTTTTTATTTTAATATAGTGAACAGACACTGTTATATTAGTTTCGGGTGTATAATACAGTGATTCAGCATCTCCATGCATCGGCCAGCGCTCAACACTAGTTGGAGAGGGCCTTTGAAGGAAGGAAGCTGGGCTTCTCCAGAGGACTGTGGGAGCACGGGGAGTTTTTGAGTAGGACTCAAAGGATCAGAGTTGTACTTGAGGAGGTGGTGGGCGGGGCTCGACCTGACTAGGAAGCTAGTGAAAAGGTCCTGGCACCGAGGGCTGACTGCACTCTCCCAGAGTCTGGGGGTGTGCGGAGGGGGTGGGTACCTGCAACTCCGGAAGAGAAAGGTCATGACCAGCGCGTGAGGGCCACGGATTTTGGCTCCGTAGCTGTAGAAATGAAAGGAAACAGTTACTATGGATGGCATCATTGCCTCACAGTTTCTTTCCCGGCTCTCTGATGCCTTGTCCCCCCACCCCCCACCCCCTTCAGCCCTAATCCTAACGTCACCCTGGAAGGGGAGATAATGCTGGCTTTCAAGTTGGATCTGGGTTCAAATCCCAGCTCTGACACCTTCTTGGTAGTGGGGCCTCAGGCCTGCTATTTAACTTCTCTGAGCCTCGGTTTGCCTAACAGCCAAAGGGGATGTCAGGCTAGAGGGTGGTTATAATTTCAATGAAAGGGGACGATGTGTGTCAAAGGCCTCCACCGGCCCCACCCAGTTGGTAGTGTAGAGTTACTCCCTCCGGAACTCCTCAGCCTTCAAGTCTCAGGGGCCCCTCTGTGGAGGCTTCTTATCCACCAGACCATGTTAGGGCAATATTTTCAAGACCACAGAGCTCCAAGCTTCTCTGCAGCGTTTTACAGTCCTGCGTTAATGACTCAATTACTCGTAGTTTCTTTCTATTCTGATTAGTTCTTTCCTCCCCTAGACGGTAGGCATTGTGAGGGACTGTGTTTGATGTATCCTCTGCAGAGTCCCCAGCATCTTGCATGGTGCTTGATGTATAATAATGTGCTCCATACAGGATTGTGACTGATTCTGGAGCAGCCCTTCATTATTTATGAGGGAAGGTAATTTCTGGAAGGTTCTACCTTTAGCTTGGTCTATCTTAAAGTTAATAAATTCCCTACAATAGTTGCTGGATAACCTCGTACTTCCTTCTACCTATTCAAAATGTACCTCTTTCCAACTATGATACACAAGAGGACCTCAGCTTTCTAAAAGGGGATTAAAAAAAAAAAAAACTGGAAGGACATATGCCACAATTGTTATTAGCAATGTTCCCTGAGCCAGAGGAATACGGGAATTTACTTTTGTCTTTTTTTTTTTTTTTAACTTCTCCATATTTCCAAAATGATCTGTAATGGTTAAACATTGCTTTTAAAATTAAAATAATTGAGGGGTGCCTGGGTGGCTTCAGTCAGTTGAACGTCTTACTCTTGATTTCGCCTCAGGTCATGATCTCAGGGTGGTGAGACTGAGCCCCACACTCAGTGCACTCAGAAAGGAGTCTGCTTGAGATTCTCTCTGTCCCTCTTCCTCTGCCCCTCCCCACTGGGTGCTCTCCCTCTCTCTTTAAAATAAATAAATAGGGGCGCCTGGGTGGCTCAGTGGGTTAAAGCCTCTGCCTTCGGCTCAGGTCATGATCCCAGGGTCCTGGGATCGAGCCCCGCGTCGGGCTCTCTGCTCAGCGGGGAGCCTGCTTCCTCCTCTCTCTCTGCCTGCCTCTCCGCCTACTTGTGATCTCTGTCAAATGAATAAATAAAATCTTAAAAAAAAAATAAAATAAATAAATAAATATTTTTTAAAAATTAAAATAATTGAAATAAACTTCTTTTTTAAAGTAGGCTCCATGCCCAAGGTGGGACTTGAACTCATAACCTTGAGATCAACAGCCCCAAATGAGCTACCAACTGAGCCAGCAGGTGTCCCAGAACAGACATTTTAAGTGTTACAGAAATGCCTCTTTTTAAGACTCAAACCTCTTTCCCTGATTCTCCTTTTACCTCCTCATTTGAACAACTGGGGATTACGTGAGCATGTATACATTCTCCTTCATTGTTTTTTGTTGGTTTTTTAAAGATTTTATCTTTAAATAATCACACCCAATGTGGAGCTCGAACTCAGAACCCCGACATCAAGTTGCATTGCTCCACTGACTGAGCCAGCCAGGCGCCCCCATTGTTTTAACTATACTCAAGTGGGTAGTGGAAAGGAAATCCTGTATATTTGGTGCCAAAGCCCTGCCACTTTTTGCTGTGTGAACTTGGATAAATCACTTAACCTCTCTGAGCCTCCCTTTTCCCTCCAGCAAAAAGTATTCTCCGTTTCAGAGTTGCTTCTAGCAGTTAAGGACATAGCACATGTCAAAGTTCTAGTTCAACCAACACTAGTGTCTCTTCCTTTCTTCTTTTTTATTGGACTCCCTCTGGCCCTACCAAATTCTCCAGCTCTAGGTCCTGATCTTGCCAAGCTACAAGGTCTAAAAATCCTTGATGGCCTCCTGACACAATGACCAGGAGCTATGTATTGTTGTCATATGAGTATCTGTGACTATTCATCACAGGCTTGTTAGAAACCACAAAAGACCAGAAGCAAACTCACGTCCACCCATAGGGGCTTTCGGATGAATAAATAATGGTCCCACCACTGAGTGGAATGCTACACAGATGTGAGAGACTGACACAGCTCTATGTGCACTGCAGGATATATTAGAACGAGATGTATAAAATGTCAAATTGTGTAAAATGAAGTAATTCATAAACCTAAATTATTTCAAAATAAAACTTGTCTTAAAGGTGTGGGGAAGAATATATGTATCTGCTTGTATATGCAGACAGTATTTCTGAAGGGAGACATGAGACTGGACACAGGTGTCACCTCCAGGGAGGGGGACTCGGTGACAGAGGAATGGAGTGGGCAGGACTTCATAGCATCTGACTTTTTTTTTTTTTTAAAGTAGGCTTCTTTCCCATTGTGGGGCTTGAACTCAGAACCCTGAGATCAGAATCACATGCTCCACTGACTGAGCCAGCCACGTGTCCCAAAGCATCTAACTTTTTATGCCTTTTCTGAATGTTACCTAATTTTTTTAAATTTTTTTTTAAGATTTTATTTATTTATTTGACAGACCGAGATCACAAGTAGGCAGAGAGGCAGGCAGAGAGAGAGGAAGGGAAGCAGGCTCTCTGCTGAGCAGAGAGCCCGATGCGGGGCTCGATCCCAGGACCCTGAGACCATGACCTGAGCCGAAGGCAGAGGCTTAAACCACTGAGCCACCCAGGCGCCCCTGTTACCTAATTTTTTAAAATACAAATTAAAGGGGCTCCTGGGTAGCTCAGTGGGTTAAGTGTCTACCTTCGTCTTAGGTCATGATCCTGGGGTCCTGGGATCAAACCTGTATCAGCCTCTCTGCTCAGTGGGGAGTCTTCTTCTCCTTCTCCCTCTGTCTACTGCTGTGCCTACCTGTGCTCTCTCTGTCAAATAAAAAAATAAAATCTTTAATAAAATGCAAATCAAGTTTGTAAATGTTAATATGTTGAAGCCAGAATCTTATTGCTGAATGGCTTATCTTGTCCCCTACCTAGCAGTGGACAGGAACCCCATCCTGGTCCCAGCAAGCTGTCTCCCTCCCCTCCTCCAAAGTTATATCTCTTTCCCCTGAACAAAGAGGCCCTCAGGCTCCTCCAGCTCTCCAGAGTGAAAAGAGTCCTTCCTTATTCCCCAGACACAAGTGGAATAGTGTCCCCAACACTGTACATCTGCCAGGCCCCATTCCCAGAGCCCTCAAACTCAGGTGGGAGCCAGTTGATACCATTCACAGGATTATTCTATGTCCTGAAAAAAGGGACGTGCATGGGGTGCCTGGGTGGCTCAGTCTGTTAAGCATCTGCCTGCAGGTCAGGTCATGATTCCAGCATCCTGGGATCGAGCTCCACATCAGGCTCTCTGCTCAGGGAAGCCCACTTGTCCCTCTCCCTCTGCTTTTCCCCCTGCTTGTACTCCCACTGTCAAATAAATAAAGTAAAATTTTTAAAAAGGGATGCGCAGACTTTAAAAGGATTTAAAGGACATAATGGCAGGTGCAATGTGATGTCTGGGAGGCGTCTAGTCTCAGCAAACTAACATTTAGGGAGAACATTTAGGGGGTAGCTAGGACAATTTCACTATTAACTGGACAGTAGTCAACATTATAGGATTATTATTAATTTATTAAGTATAATTATGATAATTTAGCCATATAGGAAAATGCTCTTACTTTTAGAGATGCATACTTATATAGTTAGGAGTGGAAATCAGTGAGTTCAACTTTACAAAGCTCCTATGACTTAGTCGTCCAAGTCTGCCTCCCTGAACGGATGGACTCTCTGCACAAATAGCATATTCTTTTCCACCTCCAGGCCTTTGTTCAAACATTCCCTCTGCTTGGGTTGCCCTTCTACTTCTGCCAAATTACAACTTGCCCTTCAAAACAACACAATCACCTCCTCTGTAAAGCATGCCTGGTACTGCCACAGTACTTTAAAGACTAATCTCACAAGGACCTTGGACTCTAGGTCCTTACAGATGGTCATAGTGTCTTAGCACTGAACCGTAATGGGATCACTGCCTTAGAGCACTCCATTTGGGTGAGGCTGTTTCCATTCTACAGAGGATGAAACTGAGGCCAGAAGAGATGAAGGCACCCAGCTTTGAAATGAAGGAACTGGGCCTGAAAAGGGCCTCACCTTAGCAAGTGACTGCCCTGGCTGGGAGGGTCCCGTAAAGACAACTGGGTTGAAAATAGGTGTACAGGGGCGCCTGGGTGGCTCAGTGGGTTGAGCCGCTGCCTTCGGCTCGGGTCATGGTCTCGGGGTCCTGGGATCGAGCCCCGCATCGGGCTCTCTGCTCGGCGGGGAGTCTGCTTCCTCCTCTCTCTCTGCCTGCCTCTCTGCCTGCTTGTGGTCTCTCTCTGTCAAATAAACAAATAAAATCTTTTAAAAAAAAGAAAAAGAAAAGAAAATAGGTGTACAAAGCTAGCATTGGGCAATAACCACTGGCGGCTACTATATGACTCATTTTCATCTCTGTTTTGTCCTAAGAATACCTTGGCAAAGGGCCACTGATGTTATCCCACCTTAGTTACAGTTAAGCATGGCTGGTAAAGTCTTCAGGCCCAGTTGGAACCAATCCTACCTGACTCTGGGTTCTCACGGAAGCCAAGAGCCTGGCATTGCAGTAAGGGGCCCCAGTATGATGTAAGTATTATTACCAGCCCCATTTTATAGAAAGTGAGGGTCAGAGAGGCTAACTGACTTGCTCACAATCACACAGGTAGGGGTGCCTGAGTGGCTCAATCAGTTAAGTGTCTGCCTTCAGCTCAGGTCATGATCTCAGGGTCCTGGGATTGAGTCCTACATCAGTCTCCCTGCTCAGCGGGGAGCCGGCTTCTCCCTCTCCCTCTGCCTCTCCCTCTCCCTCTGCTTGTGCGCTGTCAAATACATAAATCTTAAAACAAAACACTACACAGGTAGGTGGCACCAAGATTGGAACAGAGGCATTCTCACCGCCATGGCATGCTCCTCTAACTAGCATGTCAACTCCATGAGGACAAGTCTTTGTACAGTTTGCTCCATTGCATCACTAGTTCTGGCACATCAGCTGTCGTGCATGAGTAACTGCAGGGAGCTCCCCTGCAGTTACCAGCCAGGTGAAATGACCCCAAGACTCCTTTCCAGCAGATCGGATGGCCAGGATATAATCAATTTGCCCAGCAAATATCTGCACCGTCTTTTACAGTCATTGCAAAAGGCTTATGCCCCAGGAGTCTTCTGGGCCGGATGGGGATTTAGAGCTAGAGTCATCAGATGAGTAGTGAGAAGTGGATGTGAGCCCACAGGCGGCTTAATTGTGGGAGCATACACACAATGCGCCACTGGCCTGCTAGAGGCCAGTGGCCACTTCTCATTGTGCAGATGGGACCGTTAAAGCCAAACAGACCCAAGGTCACAAAGCAGGGGGGTAGTGGCGGCCCAAACGAGGGGATACAGGGACTGAAGTGGGAGGTGGTCAAGGCATGTGCGCCAGGTTGCAAAGCACGGAGGACCCAGAAACAGCTTAATGGGAGCCCCAGCTCAGAAGGCGCAGGGAACCCAAAATCCCCAGCGCCCACTGTGCAAATAGTGCACACCGAGGCCTAGAGACACACCAGGGCTTCTCAAGGGCACACAGAATGGCAACCGGCCCCGAACCCGCTTCTCCGACCTAAGCAGGACCCATCCCTCAGCCCCGGCCCAGCCCAACGGCCCCACTCACACTGCCCCGTTCCGGAAGCCCTTAAGCATGGCCAACGCAGCGTGGTAGCGGCGCTTGCGCAACAGTGCGTTGACCGCATGGAGCAGAGCTCGCATCTGCGGTGGGACCGCCATAGTGAGAGAGGCACGCGGGGTGGGGGCGAGCCGCAGGACCAGCACTGACAGCCCCGGGTTGCGGCGGCACAGCAGGCTGCTCTGGACAGAGCAGCCGGGTCTTTGGGCTCATAGGCTGCGTCTGCTGTCACTTCTACGGGAAGCGCCAATCAAATGGCTCACTCGTCTCACATGGGGAACGAGCGGTCTGACTGGAAGAGTGGGAGAGTTTGTAACCAATCACAACGGGTTCCGCCCGCCTAGCTCCAAGGGACGCCAGAATTGCACACCTGGGTTTGTCCTGTTGGCTTCGTGCTTGGCAGGAGATACGTCATTTGAACGCTCGAAAGGAGGTTTTCTGAAAGAGGAGCCACCCTCCCTAGAATCGAGAGGGTGACACTGGGAGGAGCCAGGTCTCATCTCTACCCAAGACTTTTCCGATTGGGTAACAGTGCTCCGAGTGCTTCTTCGGGCATAAATCACATGACATCTCAAGGGCTCCCATTTATTCTTCTAATCCAAACTACTTCCCCCGGCCCACAAGAAAGACTATCATCCGGCCCCTGCTTCCTTCTCTGACCTCATACCCTGTCACTTGCCCCCTCACTCCTCTCCAGTCCAAATGGCCTGCTTGCCGTTCCTTGAGCATGCCAAGAAGGCTCCTGTCTCAGCGCTTTTGCACCTATTATTTTCCTGACTGGTATTCATTATCGGCATGGCGGGCTCCTTTTTAGTCTTCAGGTTTCAGATCAAATGCCACCTCTTCAGAGAGGGTTTCCTAGATGTCCCATCTAAAGTAGCTGATTCCTTTTATTTCCTTCATATAACTTTTCACTCTTTGAAATTATGTGTTTGCTTCATGTCCATCGTCTGTTGCCCCTACCAGGCTGTAAATTCCGTGACCGTAGAAACTTTGTCTGTCTTGTTCTCTGCTATAATCCCAGCACTTAGCACATGGTGGGTGTCCAACGTATGTTTGTTGAAGCAGTACACTTTGGGGTTGACATCTTCCAGAGTACTGGTGGGTGGAATTTATGTGTGTCACTGTGTGGAGTGGTCATTGGATAACAGCTACATGTTGAGTGGTGGCTGTGGTTTGTGAGGGTATCCCCTAGTACTCGGGCCATGTTATATTTATCTGGGATATTATTGCCTGGGTCAGTGTCAGAAGATGGTGTCAGAGGTCAGTGAAGGAAGAATTATACTTGGCCTATTTTAGCACTGAAACTGGATTCCCTTTCTTTCCTTTATTTTCCTTTCCTTTCCTTCTCCCTTTCTTCCTTTTCAGTAATAGGGGACTGGCTTATTCAGGTAATCCTTCCTCTGAAAATAGTGGCAATGCGACATTAAAATATAAAAATATCCTCTGAAGAACACTGAAAGGTTTGTAGTTGACTGTCTTCTCCTTGTGTCTTCATATGGTCTTCTCTGTACATACTTGGGTCCAAATTTCCTCTTTTTTTAGGGCCCCAGTCATACTAGATAGAACCCACTTATATAACCTCATTTAGTCTTAAATACTTCTTTTAAAGGCCCGATATCCAAATACAGTCACATTCTGGGGTACTAGGGTTTAGAATGTCAACATACAAATTCTGGGGGGACACAATTCAGCCCATAGCAACCACCATGTTTTGCTGTCTCCTACCAATGCCAATGAACAAGATGTCAGGGCCCAGCTATGTGTGTCCTCACTTCCTTTCCCTTGCAGCTGGGAATCTGGTTTAAGCTGCTCATGAGTTCTCTCTCCATGGAGAAGTTAACATTTCTGGGGTGGCTGGAGCACTCATTGTGGAAGGGGACACTGGAAGTTTCCCAAACTTTCCTTCCTCCCTGCTTGGCTCCATGCCTAGAATTACCATGTTAGGTATACCAGGAGTCTCTAAGCTGTCTAAGGAAATAGGACCTAGGACTGACAGATTTGGGTAGATGAGGAGATGGAGGTGAGGAGCAGAAAGTTCAGAGCAGGGGTCAGCCCGAATGGGGAGCCTGTTGGAGATGGGTTCTGCGTCCCTGAAAACTCATTCAGCTGCTCTGTCAGTCAACTGGTCAATTAACAAGCATTTCTCAGGTTACTCTGTGTCAGGCTCTGAGTTCCAACCAGAAGGGTGAAGTACCTCCGGTGCTCGAGAGCTCCTATTAAAGGGGGGTGGAAGGAAGGGGGATTTCCAAGAGAAGTATCACATGACAGCAGTAGTACCAGGTACTGTGAGAAACAGGAACAGCAATGGAGAGAGGGATCCCATCCAGGCAGATCAAGGAAAGATTTTAGAGGAGGCACAAAGACAAAGGCACCAAGCTTGTGGTGTTCCAATGAGGGTGGAAGAACAGCATTTTGGTAAGACAGAGCAAAATTTGCGAAGGTCTGAAGAAGAAATAAAAATCAAGTATGTATATACTTGATTTATATATGGAAATATATGGAAAATATGGAAATATATGGAAAACTACCAAGACTTGCGTTAGTGGAAACTTTTACTGTCCAGTGCCACCTCCCATCACCCTCAGAACTAAACCTCAACCCTCACCACCCTGTCTAAAGTAGCTTCCTTTCCTGCAGAGGAAAAAAAATATATAGTCTCAGAATATTTCTCTCTCTTTTTTTTTTCTTGTTTACAGTCCATCTTGCCTGCAGGACTATGACTCCATGAGAGCAAGGATTTTTGTCTTTATTTTCATAGCCATGCCCCAGCATCTAGAACAATATCTAACACAATATGTATGTAATAAATATTTTATTTATTTTATTCCTTTTTTTATTTATTTGAGAGAGAGAGAATGAGTGGGGAGAGAGACAGAGAGGGAGAAGCATGCTCTCCACTGAGCAGAGAGCCTGATGTGGGGCTCAATCCCAGGACCCTGGGATCATGACCTGAGCAAAAGGCAGACGCTGAATCAACTGAGCCACCCAGGTGCTACTGTAATAAATATTTTAAATTACAGTTAACCCTTGCACAACATGGGTTTCAAGTATGCAGGTGAATTTTTTTTACAGTACAGTGCTACAAATGTATTTTCCCTTCTTTTTTTAAAAGATTTATTTTATTTATGGGGCACGTGGGTGGCTCAGTTGTTAAGCGCCTGCCTTCAGCTCAGGTCATGATCCCAGGGTCCTGGGAACAAGGCCTGAATCAGGCTCCCTGCTCAGTGGGAAGCCTGCTTCTCCCTCTCCCACTCCCCGTTTGTGTTCCCTCTCTCGACGTGTCTCTTTCTCTCAAATAAATAAATAAAATCTTTTTAAAATTTTGCTTTATTTATTAGAGAGAGAGAGAGAGAGAGAGCATGTGAGAGCCAAGCTGAGGGAGGAGGGCATGGGGGCAGGGCAGAGTTGGAGGGAAAGAGATAATCCCAAACAGATTTCCCCGCTGAGTACCAAGCCTGACTCAGGGCTAATCTCACAACCCTGAGACCGCAACTCAGCTGAAACTAAGAGTCAGAAGTTTAACCTACTGAGCCACCCAAGTGTCCCCTCTCTTTTCTAAAGATTTTATTTTTAAATAATCTCTACACCCCATGTGGTGCTCAAACTCAGAACCTCAAGATCAAGAGTTACATGCTCTACCGACAGAGTCAGCCAGATGTCCCTCTTCCTTGTGATTTTAATAACATTTTCTTTTTTCTAGCTTTATTGTAAGAATATAGTATATAATACATATAACATACGAAATATTTGTTAACAGACTTTATGCTATTGGTCACAGTAGGCTATTAGTAGCTATGTTTTTGAGGAGTCAGAGGTTATACACAGGGGCACCTGGGTGGCTCAGTTGGTTAAGCGACTGCCTTTGGCTCAGGTAATGATCCTGGAGTCCTGGGATGAGTCCCACATTGGACTCCCTGCTTGACATGGAGTCTGCTTCTCCTGCTGACCTCTCTCCTCTCATGTGCGTGCTCTCGCTCTCTCTCTCCTCTCTCAAACAATAGATAAATAAAATCTTTAAAAGAAAAAAGAAGCTATACACAGGATTTTCAACTGTGTGCAAGGCTGGTGTCCCAACCCCTATGTTGTTCTAGGGTCAGTTCTAATCAAATGAGTGTGAATGTATTAATATATTATTTGAATAATTTTGAAAAAGAACAGTTATATTGAGAAGCTCTTGAAGGGGAGAGATGACAAGAATCTGAGGCCACTGGATCAATGGGGAAGGAAAGACATGGAGGAGGGATCCCTGCCCCATTCCTGTCAGAGAGGCAATGGAAAGTGGGGTTTAGGGCTTGAGGAGGGCCCCAGGTCTCCAAAGTTCCCAGGAAAGAAGGTGAGGCATGCAATCTGGGAAAATGGTAGGTTCTCTTTTGGGGCATTTGCTCAGGGCTTGCTGTGCAAGTGTGAATAGGGAGGGGAAGGGGTGTAGTGTTGGGGAAGACAGGGGCGGTATTTGGCGCAAGATGGGGAGTTCATCAGTAGAAATGGACCTTGAGGGGGTGTGCAAGTAGAGGGTCTGTGAGGCAACTTATCAGGAACAATGGCTGGTAGTGTTCCACAGGACAAAGGACCTTTTTTGTTTTGTTTTGTTTTAAAGATTTTATATATTTATTTGACAGAGAGAGCGCGCGCACAATTAGGCAGAGTGGCAGGCAGAGGGAGAGGGAGAAGCTGGCTGTCCACTGAGCAGGAAGCCTGATGCAGAGCTCGATCTCAGGACCCTGGGATCATGACCCAAGCTGAAGGCAGCTGCCTAACTGACTGAGCCACCCAGGCACCCTGACAAAGGACCTTTGAGCAAGTTTTTTTTTTTTTTTTTACTCTTAGGAGTTATATATTTAGTGAATATGAGAAAATGAAAATTGTGATTTTTTTTATGGTTATTACTTTGGATGAGACTAATATAGATATTTAAGAAAAAACAATGAGAACATTTAGGGTCAAACCCACGGTAGTGCAATTGGAGGATCTGGCCACATTTGTAAGAAATCATGATTGAGGGGAACTCCCTGGTTGCGTCTCCCCTCCACACACTCCCCAACTCTTCCTTGTGGTCCAAGTGTACTTCTTTGGAACCACTGTCACACCTTGTACCTAAATAATTTTTTTTTAATTTTATTTTTTCAGTGTTCCAGGATTCATTGTTTAT